CTAGCTTGTTACTGACAAGTTCAGACAGCAAAGCTTGCATGCATAGTACCACCCAAACACTTTGTCTAATATGTATAATATATCTTTTGTTTTGGAAAAGAATGCATGAGCAATGAACCCATGGCAGCTAGGAGCAAAAGGATTCTCGCTGCTTGTACTGTGCTAGGCTACTTGGCTTTATTCTAAATGAAGCTGACACAGTGATTGCAGTTCTGAATGGCCTTTACCTCAGCAAACAGGAATGACCCTTCTGCAGCCATGGGAACGATGGATATATGCAAATACCCTCCTCACCTTCAAGTTACTATTTTAGTCAGATGTCCCATAAGGCCCCAAGACAATCTTTGTCTGTTTTGTGATCTCTGTGCCAGTACGCTACAACAGCTCTGAATCTGACTATTCTCTGAGTGCTCTTGAATACCCTTGGAGTGCTCTGGCAACACTTGGGACCTTCTTCATGGAACTCACAATGCACTAAGAGGAGTAGTTCACATGACATGGGTTTTTTTAAACATTGTTGCTCCACTGCATTGTTCAAACCTGATGTGGAATTTCAGTGTGTACATTTGGGATTTAGAAACCACGTGCAGAAACAACGGTGTGTTCTATGGTTTCTTGGTACCGCAATGTCTGGTTGTGTCATCTGCACCTGGCAAATGCAACCCATGTGGTATGAAGGCCTGATCCTGAAAGCTGCTTGGTAAGAGAGGTCCCTTGGCACTCTTGCCAAGTGGCCATCTGCTAGCACCACTGACAGCTGCCATTTTGTACAGCTGTCAGAGGCATCCCTGCTCTGCCTAAAGATCTTCTTTGGGGCAGGAGTGGACAATCAACTGGGTGGTGCAGTGAAAAGGAAAAAGCACACAAGTGTGAGGGGTGAGGATCAGCTGGATGGTGGTGCTCATTTGGGACCTCAGCTGTTCGGCCTAGAGGGGCTTTCCCCCGGGCCGCATAGGGAGAGGCATAGAAGGGGAATTAACTGACTGCTCCTGCTCCTGTCCTCATAACTGCCCCACTGATTCCTCTCTTTTTCCTGAGCTGGGATTAGGCCCCCCACGCCAACCATCCCCTCTGGAGAAGGACGCGAGGGTGCCTTCTGTCTGTTCTGCTGTGCTTCAATGTGTGAACCAATGTGGCTTGTAATCATGGCTGTCAAAGAGAGGAGCCTCATGCTTTCCTGCAGTGTCTCCTGGGATATTGTTGGGAGCAAGAAGGATGGATGTTCTGGGCAATCATTCCCACGGACAGCTGGCTGCACTGCAGATGATTTGGAACTGGAATGTGAAACATATTTAGTGAGATTGGGGAGGGTGGGCTAGGTCAAGATTCTGAGATGTAGCAGGCAGAAGTAGTTATCTCAAGGCCAGGAGCTTCACTGAGCCAGGCAGTTCCTGGGAATGACCAAGATGTACAGCCAGTGTGAAAGGTCTCCAAGGATGAAGAATTCTTGAATGCAGGCCAGGCCCCCTGCTCTCAACCCCATGGTGGGGTGTCAGCAGAGATGGGAGACCTGATTGAATGAGCTTTGCAAGGAGAGGAGGTGTGCTCACCTTCAGTGAACCCCTCCTGAGGATATGGGGCCCAGGGATGTTCGTAAGGAGAGTTCCTGGAAGTAAACACTAGATTAGGTTGAACAAACTACTCTATGCATGCTCAGAGGTCCATTTTGTGTGATTTGTATTCAGGAGCAATAAAGTAAGTTTGCAGGGAAAACAGTTGTGGCTGGTGATTGCTCAAAGGAGGAACTTTGGCTCGCAATGTATATTGCCTTGAGGACTGAGAGGGAAGGAGATGATGGGAGAGAGGAAAATTACCAGCATGAGCCTGCTTGTCAGACACAGAAACATAGAAACAGAGCGAGTCAGAAGGGGTCTCCCGGACCATCTAGTCTGACCTCTGGCACCAGCAGGCCCCACTCACGACATGCCCACCATGTGCACGTCCAGCCTATCCTTGAACACCCACACTGATGGGGCCTCAACAACCTCTCGTGGAAGCCCATTCTGCACCCTTGGGATCCTGACTGTCAGGAAGTGCTTCCTGGCGTCCAAACGAAACCTTGGCTCCCTGAGCTTTGCTCCGTTGGAGCACGTCCTGCCTTCCTCTGCAGGGGAGAACAGGTCTCTACCCATCTCCGTGTGACATCCCCTCACATACCTGCATGTCGCCAACATATCCCCCCTGAGTCTCCTCTTCTCCAGGCTGAAGAGACCCAGTTCCCTCAGTCTCGCCTCATACCCAATCCCCTGCAAACTGGCCACCAACCTTGTGGCCCTACGCTGCACTGACTCCAACCTGGCTATATCCTTTCTGTAATGAGGGGCCCAAAACTGAGCACAATACTCCAGTTGCAGGCACACCAGAGTCGTGTAGAGTGGTAGTAATACCTCTCTTGATCTAGAAGCCACACTTCTGGCTATGCAACCAAGGGTGGCATTCGCCCTCTTGACCACCGCATCACATGACTCATGTTTAGCCTGCAGCCAACCAGCACCCCAAGGTCCCTTCCACAAGTGCTGCTCTCCAGCCACTTGTCACCTAACCTGTACTTATGACAGCTATTCCTGTGCCCCAAGTGCAAGACTTTGCACTTATCCACATTGAACGCCATCCTGTTGTCTCCTGCCCACTTCCATAGTCTGTCCAGATCCTTTTGGATCTGGAGTACCTGCTCCTCAGTTGTGGCCACTGCTCCAGTTTTAGTGTCGTCTGCGAATTTGATCAGCAGACTGTTCACCCCTTCTTCCATGTCATTAATGAAAAGATTAAACAGGATTGGCCCCAGGACAGAGCCCTGGGGGACCCCGCTTGTCACTGGCCGCCATCCCGATGATTCCCCACTAATGGTTACCTTCTGCTTTCGGTCAGTCAACCATGCCCTAATCCACCGGACAGTGCTTTGGCGTATCCCAAAACTCCTCAGTTTCTCCACCAGGATATCATGGGGCACTTTGTCAAAGGCCTTGCTGAAATCCAGGTATACCACATCCACTGCATCCCCTCATCAAAGTAAAAAACATCACAGTAAAAAAAAAAACAGACACATCAAAGTAAAAAACTGTGGTAATTATGCAATGTTGCTTGAAGTGATGTGTGAACCTATCATGGTTATCCAGGACTCACCTGGCATACCACTCCATCTTCAGAGTCCACTGTAAACTTTTGCCTCCGATTTGGGGCCAAATGACCATTGTTAGGTCCAACATTTTCCTCTTTTGGTCACACTGCCTTCCTGTTCTGAGTGTCCAGACAGATTTGATGCTTTGTCTTCCCAGCTGGAGCTTCTGTTTCTCATAAGGGATGCTTCGGGGTGGGGACCTTCACCACATGTGCACAGCCACATTTATGCATCCTAGGGTTTTGGTAGCTTTCCCCTTTGACCCACCCCATGCCACTGGAACTTGAATTATTCCTGCTGTGAATAGGCCCCCAAAGACCAGTCTGCCATTTTCCTATTGCTCTTCCCTTCCTTATTGGAAGAAGCCTATAAGCCAGCTTCTGCATTCTCTTAATCATTAAGAATGGTCTCCAAGTCTAGTGTCAGGGGTTGGTATTCTAATCGTTCTTTCCTTTTGTAAAAATCTGTAGGCAGGATAGAAATCTAATAAACAAACAAACAAACAAACTTGATCAGTGCATCAATTTTCCTGTGTTGGTCTAATTCAGTGTATAATCTGAATGAATTATATCCACACTATACCTGTCGAAAAGATCACTACACTTCTGGGTTTGAGTGTATGTGCATATGTGAGTTCATATGCACATGTGAAAGGGTATTTATATTGTATTTTATTCTATTATGTTTTATGGTTTTAGTTACTATTGTCATCTATTTTTATCTGTATTTTCTATTTTTCTATGATTTTGCTATGAGCCACTCAGAGAGCCTTCTGGCCATGGTGCTGCATACAAATGCAATAATGAATGAATGAATGAATGAATGAATGAATGAATGGGATATCTTGCCACCAAGCTGCTGTGCAGCTTGTTGCATGAAGCCTGATCACTTTGAGTTGATAGCACAGGCAAAGAAAACTGTTCTATATGAAAACAGACTACTGGTTGAGGAAGGCTGGTCTACACTGACAGACAGCAACTCTTCATGGTTTCAGTAGGAGTCTTCTCTAGTTCTAGCTGGTGAAGCCAGTTATTGCAGCTGTAACTGGTTGCATGCAATGAATCTGTTTGTCAGTCAGCTATGGTTCTGCCTCAAACAAGTTTGCACTGGGGGCAGCACAATTGAACTCTGGGAACAGGAGTATGGGCCAGAGTCAAAATACACATATAAATGATCCAAAAGCTTAACCAGAGCTCCAGATGGTCAAGCAATTTCACTGCACTGCCCTGAAGCAGATTTTGTATGAAACCTCCCTTATGATTCCTTATCTGGTCTTAAAAAAAAAAATAGTGAGGCAGATTTCATAGGTTCCTTTGAATCTTTTAACACTGTTGAGATATTTAAGGAGATTTCCCATAGCCTTAAAGCAAAATACTCTGGCAGCAGTTGTCCTACTGTAACTTAAAATGGAGTACGTTCACTTTCTACCTTTCATGTATGTACTTGAAAGTCAATTCATTCATGTGCATGCAAAGGAGCCAAGTGCTTAGGTGCAGTTTGCTTTTTGGTTTTCCTAGTTGTACCTTCCAAACTTTATAAAGCAAAAAAACACAAACACAAAAACAAAAACCCACTGCTCAGTTTTGGAGTGTGGTTCTTGTTCATTCATTTTCTTTCCCTTTTGCCCATAGCTACCTAGTTTGTTCATTTGCACAATGTCATTCCACGTAAACTTCAAACGTCTACATATGTTTGCAAAGTTGTGCTGTGCTTCAAACAGTCACTACTAAATGAATGATGAATGATGACTGGCACAGCATTTTATGTCATCCTTTAGGTCATGAGGCTCATGGCTTATCCTTGACATTTCATTTGATGGTTTTCAACAAGTTTTTCTATAAAAACTGCAGCTCTGTTCCTCTTTCCTCCCTTTCTGCCTCAGATTCCATAGGTGGACCCTTTCCTGCTTCCTCTCACCGATGTCACCACAAGCAAAAGCACTGTCTGCCCATCCCACAGTGTGGAGCCCTGTCAATCAGCCCACTGCTATTCCACCCCCACACCAAGGGGTCACAGATCATAATGGACACCACGCAGAAGGCGGTGAAGCGCCAGGCAAGCTTCTGCAATGCCATCACCTTCAGCAACAGGCCCATTGTCATCTATGAACAAGTCAGGCTCAAGGTGAGTCAACGCCGGTTTCATTTGTGAAAACCACATTTGTTGTGGTAGACCTAAACCTTGACAATGTCTTGCTACACATTTATATTGAGGGGTGCTTCATAGGCTGAAGAAATATCCTTTATGCTAAAATTCACCAGATGTAGAACTTGAATTAAATATCAGACTTTTGTCACGGGTGACATTCCATGCCCTCTTAAAAGCCTGAAATAAAATAGCACCAGAATATAAACCCCCATGATCAGAGGATAAGCACTGAAGTCCACTACATGATTTCACTACTTTGAACCTTTCCCCTTGTTCCATATAATTCAATGAAAATCATTTGTTTCAGAGTAAATCCTGTGTTGTTAATATTGCTCGACGTAATTTGTGACTGCCCCCTTATTGCTATGGAGTTTACCTATGTAGGTGATCACAGCAATACCATCTCCCCATTCCTGAAATCCTAAATATCCAAGCACCAAACTAGCTGCATGCTGGAATACTTAGAAAAGAACTCCCCATTGGTGCAAATGAGATCCCCTCTTCAAGCATTCCAGCTGCACAGTGATGTGTAATCTTGGTTCCAGTTGCTCTGGGGAAGGAGAAGAGAAGCTTCTACATTTTTCCAGGAAGGATAATCTCCCCCGTGTGCCTCTGATTTATTATGAATAAAAGAAAATCTGTACTTCTATGCTACATATCAAGCAAATGCCTAGTTTGGCCATGAGAAATACATTGCCTTGCAGAGTTAAGAAATACATTACCATCCCTACCCTGCTCCAGTGAGCCAAAACCAAAATTGCTTTTGGAGAACTTGAGGATTTTCTATTAGCATCAGATAGATAGGTGTTTTAGGGACTTTCTCTGAAATACAATCCCTCAAATAACGAAGAATTGTCTAACTGCCTCTCCTATCTGTCCAGTGTCTGTTCCAAGGCATATACCAATAGCCAAATGCAACTGCCTTAGCATCTGATTGCTTGCTCTGAGAAGACCCAGTGTAAAAAACCAGAAAAGTTTAGTCTGCTTGTCCGAAGACAGACCTCTTGCTTTTATTAAGGATGTAAAACAACTGAGAAGAGCTGCTTCTTTCCTAATGGCATTGCCAGAGCCGATGCTAGAGTTTATAAGGCAGACATAAAAAGATGCTGCAGAGAAGTTAAATCACTATTATGATTTAACATTAGCCATGCATGTTTTGTCTTTGAATTGGTTAAATTGGAAATCAGTATTATGGGATGTCATCTTTAGGTAAAATTTGTTGGTTCTACATTCTTAGTTTTTTTCTGATCTATGCTTAACTTGTCCACTTATATTTTTGTAATACATTGGATTTTTTTCTCTTTGATATAGTATGATGACCTGGGGTTATAAAAAAAAAAATGAGCTGGGAATGCCCACTGTGACAGAATGCTTGGGCACATGTTCTCTTTGGATGCTGCCTCTTCTTGTCTCACCCAGGTCCAGCATGATGTTGCTTTTAAGTATTAATAGCTGCAGAGTCTTGTGTTCTGTGTTAGTTGATCATTTACTGGGCAACTTGTATGGTTAGTGTGAAGATAAGAGGGAGTATAAAACTTATACTGACAAAGCAGCTTTTGCATCCTGTGCAAGAGCTCCTGAGGATTTGCAACCAAATTGCTAAATAACCTGCTTTTTTAAAGGGTTTTTTTAAAGTGTTGAATGAGTCTATTGCTTTAACGCTTGGAACAGCGGGCTCAATTTATTGTATTTTGCTGCAGCCAAAAGGAGACTGTGGTAGTCAATCTGACAAGTAAAGCAGAGGCAAATGTGGTCTTTACGAGCATAAGAGACTTGCTAAACATAGCCATTTGGCATACCTTTCAAGAATTGAGTTGATTTACTAGAAGCCTTTTGAGCATTTGCAAGGATAAGGGTGGGGAACCAAAATTAGTTTAATATGGTTATTTGCCCATGTCATTTCCCTGTTGTTTGTTCATTGTTTCTCAACCTGTGGAAAGTTCAGGTTTTAAAGAGCATAGGTGCAGAATGTGTTTCCACCTGATAACCAAATTCCATTGGAGAAGCTTGGATTTGTGGGGGTATTCCAGTAGAGGGTGGATCTGACAACAAAATGAGCAGGGCCAAAATATCCAGTACATGCATGCTGTAATGCTAAACGCTTATTGCCGGGAACTATGCCTTAGAATAGGGGTGGGCAATTAATTTTCCTATGGGGCCACATGAGGAACTTTGACAGTTGTTAAGGACCGGACCAATACACTTACAGCTCTGCTCAATATATATCTCTATAAAAACAGTAAATGAAACATTACAATGATACAATGAAAATGTGGAGTACAGAACAACACTATTTAATGAATATTCACAAAAACATTAACATTAACATTACATGAAAAGCAATAAATTCAAATCAATTTGGCAGATCCTTCAAAATAAAAGCAGTGCAGTTGTATTGCTTGCATCTATATTACGACGATATATATTTGCATTGACTTTTAAATTGCCAGTGACCTCATGCAGGCCAGTCAGGGTCAGCCATCGGGCTGGATGTGGCCCGCGGGCAATACAATGCCCAGGTCTGCCTTAGAACATGCACTGGAACCTTTTAAAATAGGGAAATAGCTACACAAAGGCTTGGAAAACATCAAATGGCCAATGGTTGGGGAAAAGGGAGTGGATCTGGTCACATGGGCCAGACAAAGTCTACAGGCTTGAAGTTTTGCATCCTATTTTAAAGAATGGGACAGCAAGTTAAATCACTCCAACATATACCGTTCTTTGTGCTTCTCTTCTATTATTTTGAGGATCTTATTCCTTCCTCCTGTTTCCTTGCTTCCACAGCCCCTGGCATTTCCTGTTGCCCCGATTACAGGGAGAAAGGAATGGAATTGGGCACATAAAAGAACTGATTTTGGCATAAGGACTGCAGGAGCCAAGAGAGAACCTCCAGGGGCTCAATCTGGCTGCCAAAAACATGAGCAGCAGCAAGTACCTTTTCCTCTTGGCTGCTATAATTTCTGCTTCCATGGCTGAGGCCAGATGCAGCTGGGGCACATGCATTTAGCAACCCAGGCTCGGTGTGTGCACTGAAATTTTAGGCTCTCCTCTCCTTGTTCTCCTTTCCCTACTGGACATGTGCTGTTTGAGCAAATATGCCTTATTTATTTATTTATTATTTATTTATTAAATCATTTTTATGCCGCCCCATTCGCCGAAGCCTCGGGGCAGCTTACAACAACAAATTAAAATAACATTTTAAAATATATACATTAAAATACAAATATATAATATAAAACATACAATATAAAACAAGCCGCCCTGGCCAAATAAAATTCAATAATATTAACATTTAAAATACTGCTTAAATAAAAGTCTTCGCCTGGCGCCGAAAAACAAATAACGACGGCGCCAGGCGGACCTCTCTGGGGACCTCTCTGACTAAAGTTGGTAAGGCAGTGAGTGTCTTTTGTATCAGGAGCATTTGCTCCCCAACTCATGGACAGCTACCTGAATGCAGTGGGAATATTTGTATGGGGATGGCCCTGCTTGTCATGCGGGGATGGAGAAGTAGATTTCCCCCCCCTCTTTTTTCATTGCTGGGCAGTTATGGGATTGATTTTATAAGACAGCAAACTTAGCACATTTTCCTAAGAGAAGATCCCATCACACTAAACAGGACTTACTCCTGAACAAGCATTCGTAGATTCTCACTCTGATGCTGTTATTTGCTTCTGCTGTAGCAATAACCATTATTGTTTACAAGGATATGGTGTTACATTAAAGGTCATGTGGAACCCTAATTTCAATGGCACCTTTAACTTGTTGTGAAAGAGCCAAGCTTCAGCAATGATAAATGGCCCTAGAGCAGATCCTACCAAAAAGAAATTAATCAATGTGATGGTCCCAGTTGGACTGAACACAATTTCTTGTATATCTTTATTGTGTTCACTGTTTACTTTTGTTGCTAAACATTGCTGCCATCTGGAGAAGCTCTAGATCAAAAAATTGATACACTCTTGCTCCTGTCATCAAAACTTACTGCCAGTCCCAGATTACAATGCTTATTTTCTTTATTAAACTCTCATGCATCATCATTATGTGTCTATTTCTGCAGACTGCAAGACTTCTTAAAATACTTCTCACTTAATCTGCGGTCAGCTTTTTGGTATTGGTTTAGAAGAATGGGTTTTAATTTTTCATTTGTGAAAAGGGTAACTCAGGGCATAACTTTATGAAGACTGAGACCAAAAAATGGCCTATAACTCCCGCATGCCTCTCCCAGCATAGCTAACAGCTGTATGTTTAGCAAGACATTTGAAAGGCAGAACCTATATGTCTTGTGTATCCATAACAGCAAGAAAACACTTCAGTGCTCACAGAACAGTCCAACCATGTTATCAGGAAGTTGTGGGTGAACCTGGAGTCAGAAAAGCTAATGGCTGAATGACCTATCCTTGTTTGTTGCAGTGATCATGGGAATTTCTGCTGGCTGTATCTCTGTGAAGGTCTATGCAGGAACAGTCAAAACAGAACACAGAAAAAGTGAATTGTATGAACTGGTTTCAAAGAACACTGAATCCCTAAGAAATTGTCGCTGAATATCACTGTGTAGATTGAAGAATCCACACAGTGTATTGCTATTTGGCACCACTTCCTCATTCCTCTCATACTGTACTCAGAGCAATCAGTAAGTTCTTTCTACAACTTCCATTCTCACAACACATTCTTAACCAGTAGGTTCACATAACTTGCACTGGACCAGATCTCTAACTTCCTCCTTCTCATATATGCAAACCTTTCTCCATCATCGCAATGACTAATGCATCACATACCTTTATTCTCCATCATCTACACACACTGAATAAAAAAAAATGCAAGGTGAATGTACTGATTCTGTTGCTGTTTCCCCCTTTAGATCACAAAGAAGCAGTGCTGTTGGAGCGGGGCTCTTCGACTTGGATTTACCTCTAAGGATCCCTCTAGGATTAACCCAGAAACCCTGCCCAAGTATGCATGTCCAGACCTAGTTTCTCAGAGTGGATTCTGGGCCAAGGCCCTCCCAGAAGAGTTTGCAAATGAAGGAAACATCATAGCATTCTGGGTGGACAAAAAGGGACGTGTATTTTATCGGGTTAATGACTCTGCTGCCATGTTATTCTTCAGTGGGGTAAGGACCACTGAACCACTGTGGGCTTTGATTGATGTCTATGGACTCACACGTGGAGTGCAACTACTAGGTAGGTGCAGATTTGAAAATGTGGGCTTGGTGGGTTTGGTGTGGGAAACTGCAATAGTGCACTGCCCATAGAATTCTTCTCTTCTTCGTGTGTCTTACCTGAATTAGTCAACATCATTCACCTGGCCTAGCAAAGGAATCTGAATTTACTATTTCTGGTGATGTCACTTCCCAAAATGATATAACTGGAAAGAGAAGGGTTGTACATATTGCACATACCATTCAATAGCAAAAATACTTGTGGCATCTTAAGGGCTAACAGATGTCGTGCGGCAAATGGACTAGAGTCTTCTTTATCATTCATGGGAAGGTGTGTGTGTGTCATGCCTCAACAGACTTAGGCAGCCAACCACTCGCTTACCTCAAGCATGATGTGGTGTTGCCAGTTGACCCATGCTATGGAGGAAGCTTCCTTTCTGGTCAGAGTCTTTGTCCATCTGGCCTAGTGCACGTTGCTTCGGGTGCTGGTGCTTCTCCAGTGTTTCAAGCTGAAGAAATCCATATTTCTGATTGCCGAACCCCTTTAAGCAGAGGTGCACGACTGAACCTAGGCCCTTCTCTATTCAAAGCTTGTGTTCTACCTTTCAATGACAACACATCTGTTAATCTTTAAGGCGCTACAAGATTTTGTGCTGGTTTTGCTGCCATGGACTAACCCAGCTACCCTTCTGGAGACAGTGCAACATGATCTTTAGCTGACTATGTAGTTTTAAACTGATGTGGATGACTGAAAATGGTTCAGTTCATATGCTGGTAATCTAAGCCTTAGTATGTCACCTTCCATCTTTGTTCTTAGATGTGGCTGAGTAAAACTGGCATGCTAAAGAAACTCCTGTAGTTTTTCAGCCAGATTCTGCCTGTATTATGGAATAGAATGTGTTTGTTCTTCAAAAATTCTGCTTGATTCCACCCTTGTGAACTTTACACTTTTGTTCCTGAGGACATGCAAGGCCAAGCAAACACAGTGGGGTTGGAAGTAATAAATTACTACGAAAATAAATATCATTAATAATAAGATTTTTTGTTGTGACAGACTATTGCTGCACATTCTGAAACATGGAATGTACACTGTAAGAGTTCTCTTTTATCTTAGTCATCTCTCTTGCATCTGACATAGGAAAATGTATTTCACAGCCTATGTGTGGCCCTTGCTTTACCTGAAAGGATGGCTAGTGTGTTCTTGTTTGTACTTAAATGAAATTGTTGTTCTTAAAGATATTATGTTATAAAACTGAATGTGTTCCCTAGAGTCTGACCAGTGGTGCATCTATGTCTTGAATCTTGGGGTTGAAGCACATGAGGTAGGAGCCTCCCAAATGACCCCTTGGAGAGAAGCAGGTGATGGCAGGGCAGGGGCAGGCTGGCAAACAGGCTGGCATCACTCCTTTTTGTTTCTTTTTCTCTTTTTAAAGAAACTATAGTCAGGGCAAAGTTGGCCTGAGATGTACATGATTATAGATGCCTATTTTACTATTTTTCCCTTTAAAATATATTGTGCTTATTCCAAAGTATAAGATAAGGTTAATTGTTCATTGTAAGCATATTCAGTGTAAGCAAATATAAAGTGATGCATGGTTAATACACAGTCAAGGAAGCTATTAGGGAGAGCAAAGTTTCCGTCAAAAAATTGCAGTCTTGCCCAAACATCTGAAAGGACCACAAGCTTGCACAAGGAAATGCAGGCAGACAATCAGAGAAGCAAGGAAACAGTTTAAAGAGCATATTGTGAACACCAACAATAAAGACTTCTTTAAACATATCAATATATCAAAAGAAAGGAAGCAGCTAAAGAAGCCGCTGGACCTTTGCACGATAATGGAATTAAAGGAGCACTTAGGTGTGTGTGGGATGGGAGGGGAAGATGAGAAAATTGCAGAGAAGCTGAATGATTTTTTGCATCAGTCTTCACAGCAGAGGATGCAGAGCAGATACCTGTTCCTGAGCTTATGGAAGGAGTCAGAGCAATTAAGGCAGATAGTAGTGACAACAGATGAAATTCTCAACCTTATTGACAAACTGAAAATCATCAAATCACCTGGTCCAGATGGTATCCATCCTCAAGTTCTCAAAGAACTGAAGCATGAAATTTCTGACCCTCCTACCAAAACAAGTCTTTGCACCAGAGAACAGGAGAATGGCTAATGCAATACCATTTTTTTTTTTTTTAAAGGATGGTGGAGGGGTAATTACAGGCCAGTTAGCTTATGTTCTGGGTAAACTGCTTGAAAGCATTTTAGGCACATAGGAAGAATCAGTGGGCACACAGAGAGACAACCTGTGATTAAAAAAAAATCAGCATGGTTTTTGCAAGGGGAAGTCTTGTCTCACTAACCTATTGGGGTTCTTTGAGAATGTCAATAAGCACATGGACAGGTGTGATCCAGTAGGCATTGCTTACTTGGAGTTCCAAAAGGCTAAGCAGTCATGGTATAAAAGCAGAGAGCATCCTCACTAACTGGTTAAAGAACAGAAGAGAGAGGGTGGGGAGAAATGGCAACATCTCCCAATGGAGGCTCACAGAATTACTGGGACCAATGCTTTTCAATCTATTCATTTAGAAGTGGGTAGTGATGATCTGCATTTAGAAGTGGGTAGTGAAATGGCCAAGATTGCTGCTGACACTAAACTTCTTAGGGTAGTTAAAATGAAAAGGGATTGTGATGAGCTCCAAAGGGATCTTTCCAAGCTGGGAGAAAGGGCATCAAAATGGCAAATGCAGTTCCATGTAAGTGTAAGTAATACATGTTGGGGCAAAAACCCCACACTACTTCAGGTAGAGGCTGATGGGATCTGAGCTAGCAATGACTGAGCAAGAATGGGATCTTGGGGTACTGGTGGACAGCTCGATGAAAATGTTGGCACGGTGTGCAGCTGCTGTGAAGAAGGCAAACCTCATGCTAGCCATAAATAGGAGATGGTCAAGGCCACCAATTTGGATGGCTTTAAAAGGCATTCCTGAGGGGGGAGGCTATCCCTCCCAGCTACTAGCCATGCTGGCTGTGCACTCCCTCCTTTACCAGGGCTGGCATGCCTGCATTCACCACTTGTTGAGGAGCTTGGTCAGGCGGAGGCCCAAGCTCCTTGAACCTATCCTGCCTGAGGGATCCTGTAGGAAGCTGGTTTGCCACCGAGTGTATGGCATGCTGGACTAGGTGGACCCTTGGTCTGATCCAGCATGGCTTTTCTTACATTCCTATGTTCTTAAGGTAACATGCTTCACATCAGGGCAGCAGAAGATACATCTGAATTTTGTATTTTTTCGCATCAGAAAGACAGCTCCATTGTATTTCTGTTTCCTAACAATTATATGATTTCAGTGAATTTAAAATGCCCAGCTGCACATGTTTAGAGTATTTTTAAGCATGGGTTGTTTCCCCCCCCTCTAACAAATGAGGAATATAGAAGCAGGTATAAGGCATGGAATGTTACATAATGGGAAGAAAAAGAAATTAATTGTGTGAATTGTGTGTTTCACAACTGAAGGAATACAGATGGCTGGCACCAAAGGACCCCAGAAGATGAGACTAGGGTCTACAGTTACCTAGTTGCAGTGCTGATTCTGAGATAGTGTTTGGTGGATTGTTTTACTGTACAATAAATGCATAGTGTTAGAAATCATTTTAGTGTGCATTAAATCTCATTCCCTGTGAACTGGGAACTTCTGAACACTTTTGATGCAGTCTCAAAAATGAACGTTAAACTATTGAGGTTGGACTGTTTAAAATTCAAGGCCAATTAACACTACAATCTTTTTCACACTTTAAAGATTACATGACTGTGATTTTGTATACGAATTATCCTGTGGAATAATTCAAAACAGAGGTATCACTATGACTTAATGGGAAGATTTGCATATCATAACAACCCATTAGGGTGATCTGCCATAATCAGCTGGATGTTCTGGGAAGCGTTCCAATGAACCAAACGAACAGCTCTGCATTGCCGTAGGGAGGCGGGAAGAGGCCAGTGCCAGCCATTCCCAAGGGCTCCTTGGGGACTTGGGGGTGGCTGGCTCGGGCAACAGTCAGGTTAGTTCAGAAAGAGCAGCAAGGGGTTTCTTGCCTCCCTTGCTAAGCTAGCCATTGGCTAACGGTCTTTATCCATGGTGCAAACAGTCATCCAAGTTCAGAAAAGAAAACATGCAACCATGGTAACAGTTCATTGGTTCTCACTGACTAGGTTCGACTAACCCACACTCCAGGACTTATTGTGGGTTAAGTGCTGGTTGTTGTTGAACCACGAATTACTGTGTTGTCTAAACACAACTGAGCTAAGAAGCATAGATTTTTAGCCTTGAACACAACTGATGGTTTGTTATTTGGTTGTGAACTGTGGCTTGCTTTTGAGTTTTTTATCCTGACCAGATTCAAACAAAACAATATAACCTACATTTCAGCAACAACCCAAGGTTCAAGACCTATACTCAACCCTGGAGTGTAGTTTATTGTGTCATCTGAACCTAGTCAATGTGACTAGTTTGAAAAAAACCCACTCACAGTAGATGACCTGCACTAGGTTTGCTTGAAAAGACAGACAACTATGGTTGTCATATCGTGTGATCCCAGTCAGTACATAGTGAAAAATTCTGCACAAGTGGGTTGCAGTGTATCTGTTGAGCTATTCACAAGACTGCTGGACCATAACTCCATTAGAAAAGATTATATTGTGAAACTTTCATATGTACAGAACAATGGCTTACAGTGCTGATATTCGGATAGAATACCGATGGTAGGAAAGCATTTGGGTTGTACTGGAAAAGCACACTTGGCAAGCTATCTTATTAGATCTATAGCTGTGTTCAGTTTTCTCATAGACAATGCTGCTATTTATATACATTATCAATGCTTAAAATGAGATTCCCAACAGTAATAGTATCATGCTCTGAACATTTATAAGGCTTCATACATTTTTGGTTAAATTTCATTTAAAATCATTATGTTTTTATTTCCAATATGTCCTTTGCTGAGCTCATCAGCAAGATGCTGGAAATGATTTCTGAGA